TTTTTTGCACTGGAGCATTGACAAGGATAAGTTGATTCAATAAACATTGAATTGAGAATTGAGTATAACTATTTTAAACATTTTTAATATTATTACAGTAAATTATTCTGTACATTTCAAATTTTCCTAAAATTTGCAATAAAGTTATTTTGAATCATGATCTTTAATCTTTAATCTTAATGTATGCATGATGTTGAAAAAATTCAACTGAAAACTTATTTTGTGATTTTTTTATAGGCCTACTTTGTCGTTGACGATGGAAAACTGTCATGTATTGTTATATGCGATCCTATCCGTAGAGCACTTCATTTGATCTAATAACATATTGCATGGTACCGGTATAGCCTACTGCCGATTCTTCAACATTTTTACATATCAAATCGATTCAATGTTAATTCACGAAAATGGTAACTCATTTGAAAGCAGCTCAAACCAGAATAGATTTTAAATTAAAGGTGGAGGTCATGGTTCAACATTTTCCAAGAGAACCTCTGGACCCCTAAAGTTCCACTCAGATTGAAAAATAGTAATTTTCTTCTGGACCCCGCTAGCCCCCATAACCAATGACCTGACCACATAACATGACCATCATGGGGCTCCGGGTCAGATAGGCCTTCATTATACAAGATCTATAATTACAGCCAATCAGGAATGGTTAGCTCATAGGATGTTAACACCTTCAATTGTGACGTGATCTCTCCTGAAAGCCACTAGAACTATGTAAATTACCTTTTCTCCTTAATAAAACCAAAAAAATATATATATAGATAGAGACAACCAATAAAAATAATTGTTGCATTAAGAAAGTGGAAAATGACTAGAGAACTGGCGATTTGTTGACGCAGAACAACAAAGGAAACATTATAGGCCTACACATAATGTGTATCAACGTATATTGGTATCGGATGCCTTAGAAGATTTGTAATTCAGAAGATTTAGTACACATTAATATTGGAGACGTTTGTTTATGTGTATATTATGTCTAGGATCTATTATAAGGCCTACATCTGAATAAACACAATGGTAAAATGTACGAACGAACGAACAAACTACGAATAAATGAATTAATGAATGAATGTGAACAAACAAAATAAGAACGGACGAGCGAATTCGAATTCGAATTCGAATGAACAAATGAAAAATGAAAGAATGAATGAATGATGAATTGATAAATTACTGTATAAATGAATGGATAAACACACATCATTATGCGTGCATGCGTATGCAAACCTCTTGCACGCGATAAGCACATGCACGCACATTTACGATCAAACTTAACCTCGAATAGATAAATTTCGATAAAATCGATTATACTTGTATCATGAAACACTGATCAGAAAATCGATTGATGGATACAGGGCATGAAAAGTGTAACATATATCAATCGTTGTCCATCGATACATGCTGCCTTCCAACAAAACGTCAATCATCTTACTGATCACCGCTTGTAGGGCGCGTTACCACATATCGGTAAGAGATTGGACCATGGACCTATTAATAAGAAATAATGTATTTATAAAAGACCTAATTAATAATTTTATTAATAGATCCATGATTGGACTTTGGTATCTATGTTCTTGAATAAAGCACATTGCTGTAAATTCCTCACCCTTCGGATGGGAAGCTAAGCAGTTGGTCCAGTGTGCATAAAGTACCGTAGCGATGTACCGGTACTGACCAAGAAGTCGCTGCACTATAGACGGGGCGCCGCCGCGGATCACCAGTCCCAGTTTTTAACAAGGACAGCATTATACATTTGCATTTGTGCGTAGTAATTAATTTTTGAGAGGTAATTTCACTAACCAGTTTGTATTTTAAAACAAATACTGAAATAATGAATAAATATTGTTATGACTGAATTGTCCAGCACCAGGCCCTACTAAAAAGTGCATAGGCCATATGTTTATGTATTATTCCGACAAAATGTTATGTTAAATTATCGTTTTAATCAAATTACCGTATTTTATATTGGCAAAATTAGGCAAATGGAAACGTGTATATTGTTGTTGTACAGTGCATTACTAAAATTACTGTACCGAAACATGATCATTGAGTCCTGGAGCCGTCCATACCATTAAAAAGAGTCCAGTTCGAGCCTTTGGCTAACTATAAATTTTGTTGGCACTAGCATTTTACGACGAAAATCGATCGAAGCAGAATTGGCATGCTTATGTCCAACAAAATATTGTATCATATTTCATTTTTCATGTGGCAAGACAATAAAATTCGCCTGGAGTATCCACCCGGGAAATGTTCGGAGATATAACAGGAGCATTGACAAGGGAATAAAGCAAGCGCTGACTCATCGCCACTTGCATGATTTGTTCCCAATGTCTCTTTCCATCTGCACACCACATAAAAACAATGTAAAATGTTCGTTATCCATGACTACGCATGTGCAAGGAAGCGAGAAAAAATGATAAGCATTTTTAGTGCGCGCAAACAGCTCGTCAATTTTGAAATAACTGTTTGTTTCAGTGCCTGTAAAAACATATTTTCTTAGCTTAAATGCAGTCTTAAGACACCATTAAAACGCCATCATAAATCATGAGGTTTAGACATACAAGCAATTATGTATTTTTTTTTTGTTTATCTGAGCGTTTTCCTGAAATCTTCAACCGAGTTTAGATTGAAACCATGGAATGTGCAATAAACGGTAATTGCTAAATTGGGTGAAATATATAAGATATGCTCTACTTTTTACTGTACTGTATAGGCTATGTTTACTGTATTGCAAAATTTAGCATTTAATGTTCATAGCATGTTTTACACTGTACGCTACTTTTGTAATTTTATCGTTTATATCTTCATTGGTTGCCCGTCAAACAGCCCATAGGCCTACTTTCCAAAATTTTGGTTTCAACCTTTCTACTCCTAAATACATCACCGATCTAACTGAATTGCTTCTCAGCTCGGCAACTCAGATGCAGGTCAAACACCGTCATTTTTTCTGCCCAACATCTGATCTGAAAACCTATGGAATATGAGATCTGATGCCGCTCCCGACTCTGGAAGAGTCTTGCAGCAGTCATCTGTGAGTCCCCTTCCTTTTCTCTTCTCAAAACTAAACTAAAAACAGTAAAGCATCTATTTTTCTTGCATTATTATTATTCTTCTTCATTTAATTCACCTTCTTTTTTTCACTACCAGTGCATAAAGAATGATCATGTAGTACCTGCTTTATGAATGCCTAACCATCAATTACCCAATTTATTTCAAAAGTGGATGCTGGTTTATTTATGCTACCGCATACAGTAATAACAATTGTAACTTTGTTTTTATTCCAAGAGTGTAGGAATTTTTAATTACTTGGATTTGGTTATGCGTCTATTGTTGGGCACTTCAAACCTTAAGGGCCTACACACCTGCAGTCCATCCGACATTATAGAATTCGAGTCGTCCTCACACTTTATGATATTGAGTACTATTGGATCAGGTGCGAATAATACATCGCCAAACTGTTTCTCAACATGCCGCTTATTTGAGGTGATAGAATTCAAAGGAAAGCAGATCATACCCTGATTTGAGAAGAAAGGCGGTTATGTAACACGTCGTACACCATTCAGGATAGCTAAATGTTGAAAACAATGAGAAACTCCTAACCAAAGGCCAGGTCGATTCATCCAGCCTACAGTTTAGCAGCTGTTTCCTTAAGGAGACCGATTTTGGGCTAAAGGACTCTTGTGTGCTCGTCCAGTATGTTTGTATCTTTCCATGTAATACATAAAGGTTGAATCGTAAATGTATTAATCTAGCCCCTATACTATAGTGATCTCTCTTTCTATCTGCCTTAAAGATTATTGTTGTCTCAACCGGTATATAATATATAAAATACCTGTGATTACCTATTGTCGAAAGTACTCGTACAATAAATATCTTATTTTGAGACAGATACAGAACTTTGT